AATTTCACTATCTTTTGTATCTATGGGGGTATAGAACTACTCAAAAAGATTCGGGGAAATAACAGATTGGTGTATGAGTTGAATTTTTTTTTTCCTTTTCAAAACAATGATAAAATTTATAAATTATAATTATTAAAATCATAAAGGTTTTCACTATAGGTAATTATTTTTGAAAAAGACAATTTTTCAAAAGATTTTTTAGGGGGTCATTGTTAAGTCTATTTTTTAGGATCACCTTGATATATTAATGTGACTATTTTAAAACTATTTGACATTAAATAACATCTTTATTTCATTCAAAAGATGGAAAGGATTACGTTTCTTTTTAAAAAATAAAGACTTTCAAGGTTATGTTTGGTTGAAAAATTTGATGAGAAAAATAGATAGAAAAAAGAAAATGTAATATCACTTTTGATTGATTATAATAAAAAACGTAGGGAAAAAAAAAAGTGAGAGAGAAATGCAATCACACTTTTTGTCTTTTGAGTTTACTTGTACACTTTTTTTTTTGATTTTTTTTGGTCATTTCTCAGCTCAATCAAATATAGTTTGGAATTCGAATCATTTCAATTCTTTTTTTTTGCTTTCTATTTTCCTTTTCTTTTCTATTTTTCTCATCAAATCTTCCAACTAAATATAGCCTTACGCTGTGTTTGGTTGGAATATTTGGGAAGGAAAATGAAAAAGGAAATAAAAATGAAAGGAAAAGGAGAAAGAATTAAGGATTCCAAATCCCAACTATGTTTGGTTGCATTGGGAATCGAAGGAGAAAAGAAATTATTTCTCATGAACTCTCTTATTGTCCTTCATCACACACAGAATTGTAGTCATGAATTACAATAACAAAAAATAAGGTTGCACATGATCAGAGTGCTTTGTGTTTTAGAAAAAAAAAAACAAAAAATTAATTTGATAAAAATAAAAAATCATAACTAAACAAAACTTTATTATATTTTCTCGACAAATATATATATATATATATATATATTATTTTCTTCTAATTTTTCTAATCCAACCAAAAATATACCAGAACATAGAGCACAAAACAAGTGAAAACATATAGTCAAACACTAAAATTACATAGCTCATCTTTTTTTTTTGCTTTTTCTTTTTTTGAGAACACTGAAGATGCATATATTATTGAATTTCCCAACAAACAAAAGCATATGCGAAAGAGAGAAAAATTGTGCTCATGCTCATGCAAAGAATAATTCCAGAGAGGGGATTTACATATATTTATATATGATATTATTATATTGTTGGTTGCAACCATGAAGAAATGCTATGCTGCTTACAGACAGACACAAACCAGCATCATTGGTGTGTAAATAAAACAGCATTGATGTGGAATTCTGAACCAACAAACACCAACTTTTTACATATTTCACAGAGGTTACTACCATGGTTATCAGAATCCTGATCCGGATCTTACGATCCTACGATCTTACGATTCTACGATCTTACGATCTTACGATTCTACGATCTTACGATCCATTTGAGTACAATTGATCCGGATCGTGTAAAAAACTCTTTATAGGTAAGATCTTTCGATCCTGGTAATAGGATCTTATAGGATCGCGGAATCCCGATCCGAATCCGATCCTATCCGATCCAATTTACAAGCCTTGTTTTGTATTGTATGACATATTTTATTGTAAATTATATATTTTTTGTCTAAATACCAATTTGTGTGGTCAAAATAAAATAATAAAAATTAAGTAGTATTGAATCAAATAGACTAAGAAAAACAAACTAGGAAACAAACATTCAAATATTGCGGTAATTTAAAAAAATTAAATAATCGAAAAAACAAACTTAGCTTTAGCGGAGTCTAAGGAGGGTAAGATGACTGCAAATTTATCTCAATTTTTGGAGAGATTATTTTTGTGACTTGAATCCGCTCCACCAGGGATGCTAACAACAAACTTTATCATTCAGTTAAGTTATTCTTTTGAGTTCTTAATCTATTTTCATATCAACTTTGTTAAATATTTTTTCTTCACTTTTTATGCATCATTGTAGATTGTAAAGTATTTTGTTGTAGAATTCTTCTTCTTCTTCTTCATCTTCTTTTTTGATGAAATACAATACTTTTACCATCGAGTTTTCTATTGTATAATATTATATGTACATTTTACATGGAGTATTATATTTTTCACAACATCTTCACTTCTTTTTAATAGAATATAAGCTCATTTTGTGTATGCTTTATAAGAAATATTTATTTAAATTAAATTATTATGTAATCTGTCTTTTTCAGTAGGATTTTACGATCCTCGATCCGATTCTACGATCCGATCCTATAAACACCTCTAACGATCCAACGTAGGATCCCAATTTTAACAACCTTGGTTACTACGTTCTCAAATCCACTTCGAAGTAATTATTGTAAGTAGCAAACCAGCCCAAACACATGTAAAACTACAATAGTATACTGATATATTGACAATAATATGAAAGCATTTATATATTAGTGGAAGAGCTTCCCCTCCAAACTTGATAAAGTTTGAATTGCAGATTCAATAGACAGACACCAGTTTAAATTGAACATAATGATGATTCCAAGAGTTCTATTATGATGATCAGAATAATCTCACAAGCATTACAAAAAAAAAAAAAAAACAAAGAAATAACATCAATGTATCATAGTGCAGCAATGCATCACAACCACCTACAGACAGCTAGCATCAGCAGCAGCATAAGTGCAGAACACCAAACCAAAGCATAAGACAGCATCAGCAGCAGAACATCAAAACCAGGACACCAGACTCATCCACCAATATAGAAAACATAACATCAATGTATCATAGTGCAGCAATGCATCACAACCAGAATAATAGACTCATCCACCAAAATAGACTCACCACCAATGCATCAATGCAGAACATCAAACCTAGCATAACAGGCTCATCCAACCAAAATAGATATCATAACATATAACAGAAATAGATAATACTACAAAACATCAGTGCATCAATGCAAGCTCCTCCACCAAACCAGACTCAACACCAGTGCATCAAAGCAGCACATCAAAACCAGAACACCAAACCTCAATCCCTGTGTAATCCATATAAGCACAGAACCAGAACATATAAGCATGACAAATTACCACTGAATTTTTTTAATTGACTTGGCTCATTTTGTCTTTTTCACCATATAAGCATGACAAATGAGTAGTGCACAGGTGTAGGAGCTATTGGTTCTATACATGAGCTATATATATCTGGTCATGAGCTATATATATCTACTGATACTGTTTCTCCTTTGATGCTGGAAAAAACTCAAAGATTGGAATAGTAATTTAATCTTTATTGTAAAAGCTTGCCTTACTATACAACACCAATGCTGATCATACATTTTAATTGCAACTTATTCAAACTTATTATCAGGGCCGGCCCTGAGATTTGTGGGGCCTAAGGCGAATTATGAAAATGGGGCCTCTCTAATATATTTTTTTAAATAAAAATTTTATGATTAAAATGATAAGTATTCACAAATTTTTTATTTAAGTATACTTGCACATATAATCATTAAAATTATAAACTAAAATTTATTTTCATATATTAAGTGAACAATGTTGTATATTGTATGTATAGTTTGGGTTGGGCCCAAACACTTTATTTATTTATTTATTTATTTTATATATTTTTATTTTAATAAATATGGGCCAAACCACATAAATATGGACTAAACCAAACATGGGCCCAATAAAAGATTTTGGGGCCCTTTAAATTGATCCTAAAACAAAAAAAAAGAAAGATTGGGCCTATAACAATTTATTAAATTTGAGGGCCCTTTTTTTGGGCCAAAATTGTGGGGCCTAAGGCACAAGCCTTATTGGCCTTAGGCCAGGGCCGGCCTGCTTATTATTAAAAATCTTGTATTTTTTTCCGTTCAAATAACCGAAAGCACAACACAAATCACACTATTCCATAGGACTAGGGGCTTCTTAGTGGAACCAAAACCTCTATAGTCAACAACGAATGTTTAGATACATGAAGCCAAAAATACCCAATACATAGAAATATATTACATTTTTGGACCAAAATTGTAACGCCCCGACCCTTTATACGTCATCGATATTGTCCGCTTTGGGCCACGCCCGCACGGATTTGTTCTTCCCAGTGGCTCACCATCCTAGAAGTGGGTCACCCATCCTAGAATTACTCCAGCCTAAGCACACTTAACTGGGGAATTCTAATAGGGATTTCACCACTTGGGAAAAGGTCTCGATGCTATATAAGGGTCTAGATTTTTACTTTTATAGCCCAGGAACTCCCCTTCCATTCCCGATGTGGGACACCGGGGCCTTACAATCCACCCCCATAAGGCTGCACGTCCCCGTGCAGTAGCCTGCCAGCTCGCAAGCCCGCTCACATGCACCGAGAAACGCTAGGGGCCCACACTCGGTACTCCGGAGAGTCGGCTCTGATATCATTTGTAATGCCCTGACCCTTTACACGTCATCGATATTGTCCGCTTTGGGCCACGCCCGCACGAATTTGTTCTTCCCAGAGGGTCACCCATCCTAGAATTACTCTAGCCTAAGCACGCTTAACTGTGGAGTTCTAATAGGGATTTCACCACTTGGGAAAAGGCCTCGATGCTATATAAGGGTCAAGGTTTTTACTTTTATAGCCTAGGAACTCCCCCTCCATTCCCGATGTGGGACACCGGGTCCTTACAAAAATACTAAATTAAAGCTATCTAGAGTGATCCAAACAGTTTTTCTATTTTTCCTAATGAAGAAAAGCATTGACTAAAATATATTAATGCTAAAAACAATGGAATTTTTGCAGGAGAAGATCGAAGAAACTAGGGACATAATGCATCAATAGTTCAGCTATTATAGGATGCACTTAGAAATGTTTTACATGATTAATTTGACCATAAGAAATCTATACTCATATTACCCAAAACTCATTTAATCCAATGCAACAGACCATCCAAAAGCAGAAATTACTTAGAAAACAAACTACAGAAAACAACTTGAACATGGATAAACAAACAGTGTGACGCCCCAAATTTTTATAACATCAAGGGAAATTAAATCAACAAAATGACTTAATAAACCAAAAAGTTGGCATCTTAATAAGGCAATCCAACTCTCGTACATAGCGAAATGTTCAAATAACAATAGATAAAAACTTAAAATTATCCAAATACAACATCAAATGAAATTATAAAGTCCTTAATAGCTATTATATAAAATAATATAATTTATTCGGCTCTAATCAGGGTTTCAAGTCAGCCAAGGCTCTACGTTAGCGTCAACTCCATTTCAGCTTCAATTATTTCCTCGCCAAGACCTGGCATAAAACGCCAGGGCAACAAAAATATATACCATGAGTTTTGCAACACAGTAAGAAAACATAACCAACCTACCATTCTTTTTAAGAGAAAAATAATGAGATTATAAACATAAGGTAACAATATAATTGTAAACATAAATTATAACCATTAAAATAATTTCAATAATTTTAATAAATTAGGTGACACTCGAAATCTCACCAAAGAGATTTAACTTACCAAGCACTAAGCATGTCAACGGTTAATTTGAAACCCTCCCTTGATCAAATATTCAAGTGTTACCAACCGTAACTACCAGGGATGCCCACGTCCGGAGTTATATACCCAAGCAGTGGCATCCGTGGTCTGCCTCAAGGAAACGGTCTGCCAGGGGTACGTAACCTCCCTGTGTACCACCTGCACATCCATCCTTATTCCAAAACCGAATACCGAAAAGAGTTCAAATAAGTCCCGTGCCATCTTAGGATTTCGCGACAATTTACACGAGAATTCTCAAAACCAGGGCTCACCCTGAACAACCGGTATTAATTGTCAACCCTTAATTTCGTACACTCTTTAAAACCAAGACTCACCCTGAACAACTGGTATTAACCGTCAATTGTTAACTTTGTATATGCCGTTAATCATTTCAGTTAATTTTGATATTAATCACAAATAATTCCAAATTTTTTTATCACAAGTAATGTATTATTGGTTAAATTTCGTATCTCTTTCTTGTTGAGATATTTACAATAATTCAAAATAATGTTATGCCAACTCATTAAAATTCGAACATAAAATATTACACATGTCACACAATAATAAACAATTGTACAAAATTTAAATAAACAATCATTTAAAATCATGTTCCAATTGCCCAAATTTAGTTTTAATTCATCTTAGTAATATCAACCCACAATTCTAAAATATAAATTAGACTTCCCAACCTCTTGAAATTCCATGATGTATGTAATACAAATAGATCCAATTTTATTATTAATAACAAAATCAACTTAACTCAATTCTTAACCAAATACTTGATTTATAATCATGGGTGTTCTAAAATGTATCTAAATTGAATAAAATTCTTAAATTACATCACATGCATGGATTAAATAAAAATCTAATCATAAAATCAAAACTTTAGGAGTAATTCCAAATTTCCAAAAACTTGACTTTCTTAAAACATTTCCTTCATCTCTTCAAAAAGAACTTGAATGACTCAATTTCATATAAGACAAATAAATTCAAACCCAAAATGGTTATTTTCAAATTGTTGGAGGAAAATGGTTGAATAAGAAATTGCCTCATCAATGTGTATATAACTCACACATTTAAGGCTCATCAGTTTTACAAAATTGATTGGACAGTTTTGCTAGCATTAGTTGCCAGCCTTGATGGCTAGAGGCTCCTCCCCTCTCCCCCATGGTTTATAAAAGGAGTCCTTATTCCTTGAAAAAAAAAATATAGAATTTTTTCTTGGCATCCATACCCTGTCAGTCTACTTCTCCTATAATTTTCTTCCTAAGAGAGAGTGCTGCCATTGTCAGTTCGCTAAGCTAATCAGAAGGTGCTTCTGTTGTAGCTGGTAAAAACCGTCGTATCTTGGGAAGTAGACGCCGGCGTACCTCCAGCACCCAACGGTGAGGCGGCGAATCTATTTTAAGGAGACTGTGGTATCACACAGGCTTCGGTTTGCTTCCTTTAACCATTTTATATTTTATCTGTATTTTATTCAGCATGTTATATTTTCTGGGATTGAAGGTTTGTTTTGTTCATCTCATAATTTTGCAATATGCAATGTGAAATTATGTAATATGAGTAGTTTTTCCCAATACAAATTAACTTTTATAATTTTGAATCTAATTCAATTCTACACCATTTTACTAATTCCTTTTAATGTACATGAAATTGAAGTTATATGACCCTTAGGAAAATATTTGCATGTACGACATTAATATTAAAACTAATTAATCCTTCTATATTCAAAATTAAACCAATGTTTAACTTTCCATAAACTTGATTTTTTTTTATTTATTTATTTATAAAATTTCTTCCTTCTTTTCTTCAAAACATGAAATCGTTTACCTTAAATTCCTCAAAATCCATAATGCATGTATAAAACACTTATCAAATCCAACCAAATTTTACATCATCAAGCTCAATTTATAATTTGTCTTCTTAATTTATATCACAATTTAATCTCAAGCTCATAAACTTTAAAATATGAATTAAATTCTAAAATCTTGAAAACTTACCATGCATGCAATGATAAACTTCAAATATGTGAAGGATGAAGAAAATCAAACTCAAATATTTAATCTCAATATCAATTTCTTAATAATTAATTTCTACTTTATTTTCTATGATCATCCACATGCATGTAACCCATTTCATGTTTAGAACCCAATTTCCTTCATATCTAACCCAAATTTAAACTTATCAATCTTTTACACATGAACTAAATCTAAAACCTTGAAAGTCCAACATGCATGCAAGGATGAATTTCAAGTTTGTGAAGAATAATAGAAATCAAACTCTAACTACTTAATTTCCAAATATATTTCCATGATCTTAACACATAATTCAAAATTTCTTCATCGTCTTGCTAATTTCTATTAATTACATGATTTTGAGTCCAATTCCATCCTTAATTTCAAGTGTGATACAAGGATTCTACAACAATCAAGGTTAAAATCCTTACCTTTAATCTCCCATGGCTGAATTTCCTTTTAATTCCTTGAGTCCTCTCCTTTATCTTCATGTAGATCTCATAAACTCATTTCTCCAAAGTTTCTTCCAGCATAAGAGTTGGACCTCTCTTTCTTACTCTCTCTCTCTTTCTCTCCCGTGCACTCTCTCTAATTTGACTCCAGCAAAAACAAAGCTTTGTGACTCCATTCTTCATCTTTTATTTTATTATTTTATTTATTAATTTAGTGGGACACTTGTCCACATAATATGAATCCATGTTTCATTAGCTTAACACACTAATCGCACTTGATTTTCAGCACATCACATACACACACACGTGCACTCATCTAAGGCTCCCAACACAACATTCTCACATGCACACACTAACAGATGTCTTTGTACACTCACTTTATTTTCAGTACACCCGCACCCACATGCACTCTCAAATTTTTAAGCCATTATACTAATTAATTTAATTGAGCAATACTTAGTCTTAATGAATCTTGATTGACACAAAATTAGTTAATTATAACTAATCTTAAATCCCACCTAATTTAATTAGTCTAATTAACTTCCATTAGAGTCTGATTAAATATATTATTTTTTTATATATAAAAATACGGGGTTTTTCAGTTTAAAAATATACAAACTGTTAAATTCAAAATATTGTGAATAATTACTTAAGAAAATTGAATATATATTATTTTTATTATATAAAAATACGGGGTTTCACAAACAGGGTTTCTACAATTTCACTTCAAAGCAAAAATTGCAAAGCAGCTTGAACATGGATAAACAAATCCATGTATCTATAATCTCTAATTCATAATAAAATATATATAGGTGTGTGTATGTATGGAATTTTCAATACAGATCTGAGTTTGATGAGAGGAGAAGAGAAAACGAAAGAGGGGCACCAATACCTGATCGAAATTTTCGGGCAATGAATTATCAATCGAGTTCAGTGATTGAAGATCACCAATTGATGCAGATGATGATCCCCGATTGGAGCGATTTGCTGAATGATGCTGCGAATCAAAAATTCCTACTAGAGTTAGATTTGTAATTTCACTTCGAAGCAAAATTGTAAAGCAGCTTGAACATAAATAAACAAATCGGTGGGAATCAATAGAGATCTGAGTTTGATGAGAAGGTAAGAGAAAATGAAAGAGGAGCACAAATACCTGATCGCAAATTCCAGGCAATGAATCTTCAATCGAGTTCATTGATTGAAGATTACCAATTGAAGCAAATGATGATCCCTGATTGGAAGGATTTGCTGAATGATGCTGCGAATCAGAGTTTTCTACTGGAGTTAGATCTTCAAAACTCGTCGATGGTGGTTTTCTGAAGCTACTCATGAATGGTCTCCTACGAGAAGCCATGAACAATGAAACTCTCTCTCCCCGATAAATTTTTCCTCTCAGTTTTCCCGATCTTTTCTCACAGATATAAAATAGAATTGATGTCCTAAAAGGTTCTCCTATTTCTTTATTTATTTCTCACTCCCTTTCTTTTCCCATATATTTTTTATTATAACCAAACATAAATAGGATTACATTTCTCTTTTCGTTTCCCTTTCCAAATCTCACCCCAAATCCCTCAACCAAACAGAGCACAAGGTTTTATAAATAGGATTACTTTAGATTATGTTGTCCTTTAATGTCTTATAATTCTCATTTTTTCATATGAATGGAATTATTATACTAATAAACGGCAAAATAGTAAAATAAGGCATTATGAATGAAAATGACCTAAAAAGCCATAGACTTTTCAGCCCCTTTTATTAAAAAAGTCTCTGCCAAATGCAAAGCAAAAAATTAAGGGAAATTTACTGACTGATCTATTGACAAAATTTATTTATTTATAAGTCTTTTAATTTTTTTCACTTATCAATATCTCAAAAAGTGTTGAGGGCAAAATAAATATTTTAAGACTTATTGGTACATTAAAAAACTGTGTAGGATCTATGAGTATTTAAGTTCATCACATAGAACTAGCCCATAATTTACCCAAAACCATCCCATGTTCACTCTTAATATTAGAATTTTAATAATTCATTTTCGCTTTTGAGTATGAAAAATTGGGTCTAAGTGCATATACTTCGTTGTCACGAGTGGAATGGTAGCCTTCTGCACGAGGAAAATACAACCCAGCCCGGCCCAGATTTTCCCCCTCTTAGGCTATGGGCTAGATCTTGGCCGGGTTATGAGAATTGATCAGCCTTACAAGGCCTAGAATAAACTAGACTATCATAGTTTTATTTTAAAAGAAAAGAACAAAAAACATTAGCATAATTGAAAAAGTGATTCCAAAGAAGATGTGATTGCTTCCAACTAGGATGGCAAATGAACAGAATCGTTCATGAATAGATTTGAGTTCGGCTCGATAAAAGCTCATTCGAATTTGGTTCATTAATTTTTTATCTTTTTATTTTTTATATTTTTGCTCGAGCTCGTTAAATTTTTAATAAACAAATTCAAACATTCTAAAACTCAGCTCATAAACTCGGTTCGTTAGCTGATTCGTTTAATATTTATCATTTATATATTAAATAATGTAAAAATATGTATAAAAAATTAGATAAATGTAATTTATATATTTAAAAAATATAAATGTAAATAATAGTTAACTATAGATAGTACATTTATATAATAGTTGTAGTAGATATTATTATTTTGATAAAATATTGATTTTTTATTTAGAATGTTTATATATATTGTATATAAAATTGTATAATCAAAATTTTAATTATAACTTTAGTCTCATATGTAAGTATGAATTTATAAATATTTTGGCTCGTTAAGACTCGTGAACATGCTCGAGCTCGAGTCAAGCCAAAGTTAACTCGGTTCGAACTCGGTTCGTTAAATTTTTATTAAGCTCGAGCTTAAGTTTGAATTTGAATTCATTAAAATCTTAATAAATAAGTCCAAACATATTAAAAATGGGATCGACTCGGCTCGACTCGACTCAGTTTGATTTGATTACAACTCTACTTCCATCAGTGAAAATATGTTGTGCTCGAGTTGAGGCTTTGGGAGTTGGGAGCTATCAAGCATTCCATCTAAAAGAGACTTCTCTTATCACAATAAAAGGTAATTATTGAATAGTTGCAGCGCATCTGGTACTGCCAAAGCAAGAACATGTCCAAGCAAGCATAAGTTGCAAACTCATTGTAATGCAAAGTAGTGGAAGCCTAAATATAAATAAAAAGCTAAATACAAATGAGTGGGAAGAAGTAAAAACACGGTAACGGCATTGCTACTCATTGTGTTAATGTTGTTGCTAGTGTATCTTTATCTCCATCAAATGTCTTTAATGTGTTTTCATCTTGTATAGTGGAAGAGGAACCTCTTTTGGAAGTGTTTTCTCTCTCAAAGCAAAATGGGGTAATCCAAATGAGGAAATTAAGAATTATTGTGTTGTGATTTTTCGTTTGATATTTTTGATGGTGTTTTAAATCAAAAGGAAACTCTTGATTTAATTAAGACCACTTGATCCTAACTATATTATCTGGTGTTCTAAATCAAAAGACCAAATAAACATCTTGACTCATCTTTATTAGTAATTGTTGTGTTTTGATTTTTCGTTTGTTAAAAGTACCACATAGATAATATCATATAATATTTTTAAAATATCAAATAATTTTCCATAGTAAAAGCCATGATCATTTTGAAGAAAATTTTTCCCATATTATGTGTTGTTAGGACTATGAGACACCAGAAATTAATCACACATAATAACACAAGAGATTTACGTGGTTCGGCAATTGCCTACGTTCACGGGAGAGATATCCACTATAGAATTATCCCGAAGGGAGATTACAGTACTTACACCTCTCAACTCTCTCAATAGCACTCTCACTCACAGATTACACTCTCTGTGTTTGCTCTATCTGTATCTCACTGCTGCACTCACACGATATACGACCCCTCCTCACTCATCTCAATTTATACACAAGAGAGGAGGAGTGGGTTAAGGGACAACAATGAGTGGGCTTGGTGGTACTGCCCCCACTATCTTCTTTTGTCACGTTGGTGCCAACCTCACCATGTGGATGCTGGAGCTAACAATTCTTCCCCTCCACGCCCACATGGCTAACTGACTTCTCACTTGAAGTCTATCCCGGTCAGATTCTTGCAAACTTCCAGTTTGTCTCTGGTGACAACTTTGGTCATCATTCCAGAAGGATTCTTGTCCGTGTGAATCTTCACTAGCTTCATTAGCTGCTTTTCCATTACTTCTCGTATCTAATGATACCGGACATCAAAGTGCTTTATATGGGAATGGTACATGGAATTCTTGCTCAGATCAATTGCACTCTGACTATCACAATGTACCTTGTACTCTTCCTGCTGTAGACTTAATTCTTGGAGAAACGGCTTTAACCACAACATTTCCTTTCCAGCATTTGCGGCAGCAATGTACTCTGCCTCTGTTGTAGATAAAGCAACATATTTTTTGTAGTTTGGACTGCCATGAAACAGTTCTCCCTGTAAAAGTGAACAGAAATCCTGATGTAGACTTTCTATCATCAAGATCACCTGCCATATCGGCATCTGTAAAACCCTCCAGAATTGGTTAAGCTTCTTTGAAGCATAAATACATCTTTGAAGTTCCCTTCAAGTACCAAAGAATCCATTTGACCACCTCCCAGTGCTCCTTTCCTAGATTGGCGAGGAATCTGCTCACAACGCCAACTGCGTGAGCTATATCTGGCCGAGTACACACCATTGTATATATCAAACTTCCTACAGCGGAAGAATAAAGGATTGCCTCTATTTCTTTTCTTTTAGAGCTGGTCATGGGACACCAATGCTTTGTTACATTGAAATGGTTGGCTAGTGGTGTGCTGATTGGCTTGGCATCTTTTATGTTAAACCATTCAATCACCCGTTCAACATATTTCTCCTGTGACAGCCATATCTTCTTGGCTTTCCTATCACGAAAAATCTTCATGCCCAAAATCTGCTGTGTTGGGCCTAAATTCTTCATGTTAAAACATTGTGACAAGTCCTTTTTCAACTTGTCGATCATAGCAGTATCCTGTCCGATGATCAGCATATGATCGACATACAACAGTAGGATGACGAAGTTTCCATCCGAAAACCTTCGAAAATATACATATTGGTCTGCTACCGTTCTTGTGTACTCATGATCCACCATGAATGAATCAAACTTTTTGTACCATTATCTCGGCGCCTGCTTCCGGATGTATAGACTCTTCTTCAATTTGCAGACTAGATTCTGTTTTCCTTTAACTTCAAATCCTTCTGGTTGCTCCATATAGATCTCTTCCTCCAAATCACCATGGAGAAAAGCAGTCTTGACATCCATCTATTCTACCTCCAGATTCAAGTGAGCTGCTAATCCCAAAGCTACTCGAATAGAAGTCATCTTCATAACTGGGGAGAAGATCTCATCAAAATCAATTCCTTTCTTCTGCCCAAAGCCTTTGACCACCAAACGAGCTTTATGCTGCAATAGTTTACCATTGCCATCTTTCTTCAACTTATACACCCATTTGTTCTTCAAGACTCTCCTGTCTTTTGGAAATGGAACAAGCTCATAAGTGTGGTTCTTTTGCAATGAACTCATCTTCTCCTTCACGGCTTGTATCCAACAATCTTTCTCTGTATGACTCTTGGCTTCTGAAAAACTCTCGGGCTCTCCCTCATCAGTAATCAAAATATACTGAGAAGCGGGATATTTGGTTGATGGCACGACAACTTTTCCAGATCTCCGCAATTGAGGCCTAGTTGCCTCTGGCTGAGGGGGTTGCTCCCCCTACTCAACACCCTCTTCATCCGGGTCTTCATCTCTTTCTTCTTGATCCTCAATTTCTAGCATAGGATCCTGCAACTCTGGCACTTCTTGTTGCACATCATCACATCTAGCATTTTGTGATGGCTCGGGAGATTGGAACAAGTCTGGAGTGATGACATCATTAGACTTTGCAGACTTCTCAAAATCTGCTACTGTCTGGTCTTCTTAGAACACAATATCTCTACTTCTGAACATTTTGTTGTTCATTTGGTCCCATAACTTGTACCCAAATGCTGCATCTGAATAGCCCACAAATATGCATGGAGTGGACTTGTCATCAAGCTTCTGTCTGTTTTCCTTGGATATGTGTGCAAAAGCCTTACACCCGAAGACTCTCAAGTGAGAATATGATACCTTTTTTCTGGACCAGACTTTCTCAGGTATCGCAAAATTCAATGGGACTAAAGGCGACCTGTTGATGAGATAACAGGCTGTATGGGCGACTTCAGCCCAGAATGACTTTGGCAATTTTGCCATTCTGAGCATGCATCTGACTCTTTCAACAATAGTACAGTTCATCCTCTCTGCCACACCATTGTGTTGTGGGGTGCTGGGAACTGTTGTCTCGTGCCGGATACCTTTGCTGGCACAGTATGTTTCAAAAGCATTGAAAGTGTACTCGCTTCTATTGTCTGTGCGAAGACACTTCAACTTTTT